AATATTTCCAAGGTGACTTCGGTGTGGTCTGCAGTTGATCATCCCCACAGATTTCACGTCCTTGGCGCACGGCCGCTCCAACTATCACAGTCCCCGTATAATCCCTGAGAGTCGGACAATCTTGCTCGCCGACAAACCCTACACCAATTATTATTCCTTATATCCTTCCGCTTTATATCAAGCTGTAACCGCAAGCAAACCGGGCACGCTACTGGGTTTGATCCCGGGGCAACCAGAGTGAGAAGAAAAACAGTCAGCGGAAGGGCGGTTGCACTAGGGGTCACCCTTGACACCGGGCTTACCTGGTCGGCGCACGTGAACCAGGTGGGAAAGAAGGCGGCGCAACGATTAGGTGTGCTAGGCCCGCTCATCAATAGGAGAAGTGGCCTGTCCATCAGGAACGGTGTGTTGCTCTATAAGCAGCTCATCCGTCCCATGATGGATTACGCATGCCCGATCTGGAGGTCAGCTGCCCGCAGCCATGTCCGGAAGCTGCAAGTTCTGCAATCCAAGTGTCTTCGCATTGCGACTAACGCGCCTTGGTACGTTAGTAACAAGCAAATACACGAGGATTTGAGGATCCCGCTCTTTGCCGACCACATCAGAGCACTGACCGTGAATTTCGACTAACGCGCCTTGGTACGTTAGTAACAAGCAAATACACGAGGATTTGAGGATCCCGCTCTTTGCTTTCAGCAGGCCAGCCGAAGCTGTCCCCAAAAGATGGCCAAGTCGGCGCAACGAGTGGCCAGACCACTCGGCTACCCTGAGGTTTTCTGTGCTTTTCCTCAGTTGTAAAGGTTCTTTATTGAGATCCTGTATATCAAATACATCTCAGACAACTGGCAACGCCAAGCGAGAGTCGTGTTGTCGCAAACATCAAAGTAAACATAACAACAACATTGACTTACTGTGGGTCTACATTACTCTGTATCTGTTTCTGGAACAGTGCTTATGGGTTTCTTCTCAATGCACTGAGAAGTACTAAATGTCTCAAATTCTTCCACCTTTTCAACAGCTCCTTTTCTGGGCGGCAGGACATTGAGTAATGCTTCTTTCCAAGACTTTCCTCTTGTTACTTCCAAGATGATTTCAAACACTGAAATGCAGAAATCATACTGTTTTCATTGATGTCGAATTGTTAGGTAAAGATTGTACAAAGACTAGCAGATTAAAAAGAAATGGAAAGTAAGTACTAGAGAGGAACCTTCATTGTCCACGCAGAATATGGGTTACACACGCGCACACAATGAGCAACTTCATTCACATAGACATAAAGAATAGTGTGCCCCAAAAAGATGTATACACATTACAATATGGAATATCAACCTTGTCAACGATCTCTGTGGGTTGCGTTTTTATGGGAAACATAGTATAGTCTACACTTAACTCGCCCACGATTCAGATACACAAAATGGCGGAAGGCTGGTTGAGTTTCGAGCAAAGCAAATTAATTTTAAAGTGGTACTGAAAATATGAGAATGTGTTGAAGTGCAAAGTTGGTGGACATGTGAATTTTAAACCATGCCTCCAACACAACTACCAACTACACAAATTGAAAATAAAGCTGAGATGTATGGTACTGTGAACAACACGTGGTCTCGTAGATCACGCAAATCAGCAACTAAAAACACTTCTACTATGAGGTCACTGCAGTTCACATGACCAATGAATATATCTTTAGGTTATGTGTTAGTGAGATCGGGATTTCCAAGTCGAGGGTACGCCAGATTCTCTAAACAGCCAAGTGGCAAGGTTACTGTATACAATGACTGAAGATGATTCTGACTGCAGACTTGAGTTTTGTGAATGGATTCAGAGGAAAGTGGGTAAGATTGTATAGACTGATAAGGTGATGTTGAGGCTGAATGGTACAGTGAACTGGTGTAACTGTGTGTACTGGACTTCTAAAAAATCCAAATATTCTTGTTGACAAGGCAGTGAATTTATCAAAACTTTCAGTCAAATGTGGTGTGTTATCTAGGGGTGTTGTGGGACCATTCCTCTTTGAAGGGAAGAGAGTAACTGTGCTGCACACCTCAACATGCTTCAAGAATCCAATGTCCCCGCTGTTCATCAGGTGAATGGAGATGACGACTTGTACGAACAAGACAGGGCAAATCCCCCTCCCCTCCCCCTCACATTACCATCATGATGTCAGGGCCTATCTTGACAATACTTTTCCTGACAGACAAATAGGACACAGAGGATCTGATGAATCCCCCCACAATTTCACCTGACTTTTTCTTGTGGGGTCACTTGAATGACGCAGCGTACACAACAAAGCCAGCAACAACTTTGGTGGCCATTTGTCAGTCAGATGGTCAGTGCCGTCAAATATGCCACAAAGCTAACAGTGGTCATTTTCAACACCTACACTAGATTTGCTAATTCACTAAGTGACAATGCTGATGTATGTAATGGTTTAGTCTATTAAAATGCCTTCATTGAATGTGTGTATACATATTTTCTGGACTCCCTGTATATTGTGATGAATACTTCAATTATGAAAGAATGATCAAATCAAGGAGAGTGAGATAGTGGGGCATGTAGAATGCATGGGAGAGATGAGAAATATATACAAAATTGTGGTCAGAAAACCTGAAGGGAAGAAATCAATTGGAAGACCTAGACGTACATGTGAGGACATTAACACGCACCTTACGGAAATAAGATGGAAAAGGATGAACTAGAGTTGTGTCTCAAAACAAGGATCAGTGGCAGGAACTTGTAAGCAAATTAACACATCACTAAAATCTTCTTAGGCCATCAACCGCGTCAATTGGTTACACTAAGTATCCGATGTTTTGGGAACCACTTTCGTCCCCATCATCAGGATTCTGATGTGACTAGATACCACTGTCATCTCCTATATATACCTGTCTGGGACCGTTCTTCATGGCCAGTAGGCGGAATCAATCACTTGTATTGTGTGACCCTCGTGTTGGTGTTTCCGCCGGACTGTTTGAGCATATCTGTCATGGGATACCATGCCAAACACCAGGTGAAACCTCTGTCCCTATTGAAGTTATTGGGATGTATGCAGATCTCTATGGCTTCTTTTACAAGGTGATCCATGTATCCTGTTGCCAGCTCAGATTGGCTACGGTCCAGACACGAGGACTGGTCCCAGACAGGTATATATAGGTGACAATTGTGGTATCCAGTTACACCGATCATGGAGGCCCTCAGCTGAAGTGATCTCCCCCCCCCACCAAGCCGCAGAGGCCTTCAGCCGAAGTGCCCCTCCCTCTCTGGGTTCAAACCCCAGAGAACCAACCAAATTTTTTGAACAAGTTGCCTGACAGGATAACCTCCCATGAGCAGCAACCGACCCTAGTTTGAATGGTCGAGGCAGGAACTTCAAATCATGTAAAGTAATGTATGTTTGGGTTGCATAAAAGGCAGAGAATTTCTTGACTAGCAGAGTGACTCTGCTCCATGTATTCAGTTAGACATTACGGATATTCAACAAAAGCAACACACAAGATGTACAGCATTTAACTGAAAACAGATTGTGATATCAAGACTATGAGCGAATTCCAAAAAAAGTCTCTCAAATGAGAAAAAGAATAAGGACAGTATGGAGACCCAGATACTAACCACTAACTGACACAAGTAGAAGCCTAATTAAAAAAGATTGGAAAGATGTAGTTTTTGAAGTAAACAATAAAATTGGAAAATGGAGCAAAGAGCCAAACTGGCAAGCAGTGGATGCAGCTGTCAAAATGCTTACTCTACCACACTGCGTCTTAAGTTAGTGACATTTAAATTCAAGCAATATCACAAAAACAGCTGCAGAAAGAGATCAAAGAGACAGATTAATTCTGCAGTGATCTGTGAAGCCTGAATTGTATGAAGCTAGAATAAAACTAGACTTTGTTTAAGAAACAAACAGCAGCTTATTTTACAAAAAATTGAAGCATCAAATAAAATATAGATCTAGTTAAAATCTACGAATTTATCAAAAGAATAAAGTACATGCAGGAAATGTTTCCTGTGAATTTTAAAATTATATGCCACACGTAATTCTCACCAAATCACTCCACTTACCATGGTCAATTGTCAGAACTTTTCTGGTTTTCATCTCCAGAAATTCTCCAATGGGCAACTGACCATGACGTATCCCTTTCTCTTCAGCAATCTGATGACATAAGCCCTGCACAACACAAAAAGTCAAGGACAATATTGCTGAACTACACAGCTAACAAATTGGATGTACTGGACTGGGAGATAACTACAGTTACTGGAAGAGTTTGTAGGAGGAAATACTTTATTGTTCATTGCAAAATCATACATCTGCTCAGAATTAACATTCGCCCCCTATAATTATCACATCACGAGCATCGAGAGAATGAGTGCAATCGTGTTAAAGAAATGTTCCACACATTATGTTTATCTAAATGTCAAATGAGTGACGATAGAGGATGTAAGATGATCATCAATAGTAAACCTCCTGGCAAATTAAAGAAAGGAAGACTGAAACTCCGGCGGATCGAAGACTTGGAGTCCGATCTTAAACAGATGGGCGTAAGAGGCTGGAGAAGAAAAACACAGAATAGGGAAGACTGGGCATCGATCGCAAGAGAAGCCAAGGCTACGCTGAAAGGGCCGTAGTGCTAAAGAAGAACTTCTAAATGTGATTTCATTCCCATTCCACAAACATGCACATGCAAATGCGTGCAATATTATAAAAGTTGATACTGCAAGTGTTTAACTTGCAAAACAGAAGTGTTCATAACCTCTGTGAGCAGGGTCATGCGTATGCATGGACCAACCCTGATCATGAACTGGGATGGGGCATTCTGAGAGATAGAAAGATTACACACAATATACGTTACACTTAAGTATTTTCATTAATATATCATTACTGACATTTCTGTAGGCTAGAGTTGCCAGGTGTCTTGTACAAATCTTACAATTTAATTCTTTAATACAGGCCCATTTTTGTTTAAATTTCTTGCTATCAATTAATTTGTTTTTTGATGAAAATTGAAAAAGTGAATATTGAACTCTGAAAACTCTACTGCGCATGAAATTACTTGTTTTGAATTTTATATTACTGATAATAAATTATGGCTGTATATCACAATGTAATGATTATTTATTCATGCTTAATATTCATTAAGTCTGGGGTTCAATACCTGAGACTGGCGTACCCCGTTTCTGTAGGCACGAGTGTCGCGTTCCTCGTCTTCAGAAACCAATCATTATTAGCGCATAATTCTCATAGCACAATAGATAAAATTGGGGATTCTGATGTTACTGACACATCAGAACTGGCACAACCACTCGCAGATTAAAATTATTGCGAGGCAAGTAATTTTCTTCAGAATGGACAGTATCATCAAAATTTGGCGTACACGCGAGTGCGTTTGTGTATCTCTGACATCACCCATCACTTCGCATCTTCAGCCGGAGCTTCTCAGGACTCCTGATATCAATGTTACATTTGAATCTTTACTTTCAGAAAGGTTTTTCAAAGACTGAAAATTCATACGCACCTTAAAAATCCCCCAGTTTAAAGAGAACATGTAGTTCAAATGCTTGGCAATGATAAAACAAATGCAATCAACACATTTCTCCTACCTTATAAGAATTGTGATCTACAAGACCTCCTATAACATAAACTTTATCTGCTTCTAACGAAGAAATAACACTGTGTGATTCGCTCGTTAGATACACCAAGTCTTTGGATTCGAAGACATCCGCATAACTCTCATTATGAAAATATACCTGAAAAGATCAAAACATGCAATATTACAGTGAATTTATTAATAAAGACACTATTTTAGAAGATAATAGAGATAATGGTTTAGAAATACACACTCACAGAATTACATATAATACTATGCGTGAAAATCAAAAACTCTAACAGGGTCATACTGTAAAAACAGCTAACAAAGTTGCTCATGTACATAAGTACCATGGCAAGAAAGTGTATTAAGTAACCAATTACAGACGCAAGTACCAGAAGAATATGAGTGAGCAACTTTATGTTCTCAAAGCTGCTTCCTGAGAGAAAGAGACTCCTATAAATAACGGAGAGAAGGCTAAGTGAACTCCAAAACTGTTCTGGATATGAAGATAAAACCCCACTTAACCCTTTGAAGCCGAAGATCGTCTGAATATTATTTATGAATTCAGTCCATACCGCGAAGAAAACACTACACCTCACCATTACGAAAATCAGCTGGTTAACCCTTTGAAGCCGAAGCTCGTCTTCATAATATTTACGAATCCAGACCATACCGCGAAGAAAACACTTCACCTCACCATTAGAAGCCGAATCAGGCTGTACCACATAAGATTTAACAAAAGAACATCCCGGTCAAAGCCTTAATGGTACCTGCACCTTGTCATGGTGGTGGGGCTTGAGTACCTCAGTGATCCCAAGACCTACTGGTAGGGCCTCCCTAGCCAGATTGGTCGAGGGGGAGAGGTCAGACTAAGACAGGTACCCTGGTCCTCCAGGTTGGGGGTTTGTCGCAATTCTAGCAACCTTGCACCGTAAAAAGGAAGATGTTTCGAAACCTCAATCAAAGCCTCGGACAGACGGACCTAACAGAGGACCAAATGGAAGAGGAGAATCGAGGAGGCCATGGACCGAATACGGACCGGAGAGCCATAGAAGAAGAAGATATGAAGATAAAAATCAGTGGGTCTGTCAGGAATCAAATCCCACTCATCCAGCCATGTCAATGATCTTACTGATCCATCCTTGCTCTTAACAACATCAAACTAATCATTTGAAATATTAACACCCAGGGGGGAAAATGATGTCCAAAAGTAAAAAAGACAAGAAAAAAATTGTGCAGAGCATGTTATTCTGTTTGAAAACAGTAATTATTTTTCAATATAAAACATTACTTACCCACAAATCTGTAGGGCAACGATAGTAATTTCTGACTCTAAAGGAAAAATATAAAATATACAGTGGTACAAAGATATTCAGTGACTTTCCAGCCCATCACTTCTCATTTCCAATATCCACCATTTTGTATCTGTCATCGTGTTGCCACCTGTCCCATGTATCACATTTAAGTTCCTAACCCTCAACAACATCAGTCAAACAGAAACAATCCTTCCTAGTTTGTCTTTATTTACTCCACTTTTGCAAGAAACTCAGTGCCCATGTTTGTAAAGTCAAAGGAGAATGCTAAGCAGCGAAGAATAGTGCCCACTTTTTATACAAAATTCAAAATAAATAAAGATGATGCAACATTAGCAGTGCCCTTCATAAATAAATGCAGATAATGAAGTTATTACTGATTTGGATTTCTGATCATCACGCCAAAGGAGATAAAAGTGAATTGAACATTGATAAGGCTCGGCAGATTTTCAGCAGTCTTCAGACTAGTAGTTATTTGTGTTTATTTACCTGAAAAATGAGTTTAGTGCTCAACTTCATATGACTTCCCTGGAACAAATTGTTTTTACAATGTGCAATATTGCTCTCTATCCACTGTTTCCTTAATCACCACACTTTTATGGAATCACTTAATGATGAACATTGAGGGCCACTGTATTTTAAAACAAAAGTCTAAGAAGAATATTTGACTATTGGAGATGTAAATACAATGTTAACAAACTACATAATTCCATCAATCATCCCTACTGTCAGCACAGCTCAGATGGGGACATGAAGACAAACTTAGAGACTAACAAAGCAGAATAATTTTTGAGAAGTTTCATCACTAAGCAGCTGGAGAAATTCCCTGCTTATATGGAACTGGTTCACAAAAAACTTCACTGAGAGATATTTGTGTCAGACACAGTTGACAATATGTGGTAAAATTACAAAGGTGGGCATCTAGGAGATGTGGTATACGAAGCTTGATAATCTGGGGTCATTTTGTTGAATTACTGGATATTCTTTTCATTGAATAAAAAATTGCCAGAAACCATTACTAAAAATATATCCTTATTTCACCTGTTTGAAAATCCAACTTTCAATCACAGACTTACATCCCAGTTCTGGTACCCGGTGTGCTTTTGCATTTCTGCCTTACACCTTCCATCAAAACTTGTAATATAGAACTGCACTGGATCTTTGGCTCTTCGATTAAGGCTGTAACATCGTAACAGCTGCTTGACACATTTACTAATTTCCTAGGGATATAAGAAAAAGGTATCAATAATGCTTAATTTTTAAAAATTAATGCCACTCATTCTTTCTGGGAGAAAACAACATACCTTATCATTCATTAGGTCATCAAAAGACAAATCAATTGCTACACGAACTTTACAATTACTCTGTGACATTTTTGAATGTTTCAGCTCTTTCCTTGATGGTCCCAGCTTAACATTATTTTGACGTGCATCTAATTTCTTCTGTCTCAGTTTCAATTTTTCTTTGGCTCTGGAAAATAAATCATGAATAAAATGCATAAGTACAATTATCGAACCCAGAAATACACTGAACTTTATATATGTTACAGTTTTACCTTTTAATAGGCTTGTATGCTAACCATTTTTCTTTCTTTCTTAGTTTCTTTAGTTGTCGTTTTGAAAGCGTTTCTGGCATTTCAGTCTTCGTCCAATTAACAGATGATGCACATGCAGATAACACGCCTGCTTCTTCTTTGCAAAGATTTTCAAATGTAATTCCTTTTTCAGAAGGTGCTTCATCAACGTCTTTACCGAATTTTGATACATCTTTTTCAGACTTTGGAGAATGGCCACTTGACAGCATTGTTAGAAACATCCATTAAAACAGGTGTCAACTGTTATGCCCCACGTTTTTCCAGTTGGGGCAGAACAAACACATGTAATCAACTTTCATCCAGTAAGGGCAAGAAAACAATCGGAAACCTACCACATAATCACGACAGCACAACACCATGTGTTCATGGGCATAGATAACCCCGCACATTAACCGGATGCACAAGACCAATTCCAGTATTGGGCAACACCGCGCCGTGCTTGTGCTGCATCCATTGAGTGATTCACGGAATAAACACAACGGCGACAGTAGCCCAGTCGGTAAGAAGGTTAACTATTCTTCAAACTTCAACCCCCGCCCCCCATAAAAGCCTAACCATATACCATGAATGATTTTGAAACCCTGATATCACAAATATTCTGTGTCTCCGAGAAACCAGATCCATCTTCTGGGGGGAAAAATTCAATTCATTTATTAAAGTGTTTGCCAACAGCGAGTAGCCATTGACAGGCAAACACTGATAATATGTACATATACAAAAAGAAAACAGACTAAACTAAATATATAATAGATCAATTAAACAACCAATATATGATAAAAAAGACAAGTAAGAAAACATAGTATAAGTAAAAGGACTAAATAATACGCAAAAGCGAAATACACTCTTTGATAAAGATGGCAATGCTCTTACAGACTGCATTGGCAGCAGATAATAATAATAATAATTCAATTCTTTATTTTAACGTGCTAACTCAACAGCTACAGAAGCCAATTACAGAGTCAGTACAAAATATATAATATGAAAAGAAAAAAACAAACATAACTGAATAAACAGGAATGTGTGGTGCTTGGGGGACTTCACTTTTACCTTATGGTTCTCGAAATAAACCACTTATTTTCCTAAACAGTATCAACCAATTTAATTGGTGATTTACGAAAAGACATCGGATTTCTTTCAGAGTTGAGTTATTAGTTGAAATACATTCTGTGAAGGTTGTATATGAAATCATATGAGCTGCATTATTTTTTTATAGTTTGTTGCATTTTTTAACTAAGGAATTCCCAGATGAGAACAGAAACAATATAAATCAATGATTCATGTTGTTTTGCTCTTGAATATGAGTAGACAAATGTGGAAAGCAGGATGACTACCTTCAGATAATTTTTTAAAGTATGATTTAATGGAAACATTTGTGAAAGGGCATTTGTTAACTAGTGTAAGCAAAGGACTACCTGAGGGCAACCTGCCTCTTTTGTGGACAAAGTGTATCTTTGTTTAGAAATGGGAATTGTATTTTGACTTTTTACTGAGATTCTTGTTAGAGTGGCCGAGCTGGGAAAGAAGCCTAATGCACAGGTGAAAAGCTGATATAAATTATATTTATTTTTTGCATTGTGCCTTTCCATAAAATTAGTTATGCATATGTCAAGGATAAATCATATATTATGCACACTTGCTCATTGGTGTTGCTTAAAAAGTTGCTGTAGTAGTACGCTACACAGCACATGAGGTAACATTTTGCTGTCAGCAAAAGTTAAAATGGATATGAGAAAAGTAATTGTGTATAACACAATGGATTCTAAGTGACTTTTACTGGGCATAAATTTTGTACCATAACCTGTCAGTGACCCTCACCCTAAACTTAATTCTTAGTGTAAGAACCATGTGACACTCTGGTGGCTTTCACAAACCTCATGCATTTTTCCTCTCCCAGCTGTGGTGATAAAAATAGACTATTTCACTCCATGAGGGCAACCTGCCTCGGTCTCGGGTTCGATTCCCGGCGGTGCCCGAATTTATAACTTGTGTTGGGCAAGGCCGTGGTCTAGGCAACACAGAGTTTTCCTCCGGGGGCTTCCCCGGTTTCTCCGTGGCATCCCAACAATTACTCCATTCACACACAGAAGAAGGCAATGGCAAACCACTTCTGGATCATCTGCCAAGAACGTATATGAACAGGTCCCAGTCCGAGAAAAGGATGGAAGGATCCTGTTCATATGGACCTGTCGTCAGACAGAACACTAAATAAATATAATACCACTGGTAACCTTCATGGAAGCCAGCTTGTTAAGTGTAAGGAAATACATTATGATTTATACTACATCTATTACTTTTGTTTCTGTAGATTACACTTTATACTTTAGGCTAATGAAAATACAGTTTATGGACTCGTCATATAACACAGAAAGCGGAAAACATGGCTCTAAGTTCACGACTGTCTGTCCACCTGCGGTTTTCATCTCACGAACAACCAGAGGTTTTACATGAGAACTAATAGGTAATATCTATATTAATAAATTTCATGCTAATTTAATTTTAGTCCCTATCAGTTTGTTATAACATACTTGTCTCACAAAATATAAAACATACAGTTTTTAAAATCCTTGACTTAAATTTGAAAATTTGTAACAGCTTTCAGTATGGTGCAAAATTTTTAAAATTGAAGCTGTGTGGCATATTTTATGATTGATTTAACTCAAAAGTAACATTCATGATTTTATTTAGGTACTGTAATAACTGAACTGTTAAATGTTCCTATCAGTAACAAATTTGTATCTGCAGCAAATGAACATCCTGGAGATTCTGTGGGCTCAACTTTTAATATTGTAGTGTACTGGATAGGTTTAATATCGTCAAATCCAGAAAACTTTACAGTGTTACTCAGAAGTGATCTGAACACAGCCAAGAAACTGTCGTATACAAGCATGTTTCAGTGGTAAGCCTTTATACACTTTCTGTTTTTGTCTCAGTTATTCTGTTAAATGATCCAAATAATTTTTGTAACATAAGATTTGAGGTTTTCACGGCAGTGAGTCTGAAGATTGCCGTCTTCTGGGTTGTTGCACTGTGTAGTCTGGTCGATGTTAACCAACGTTTCAGAGGTCATACTGCCTCCATCATCAGGGCGATGAAGATTTCTGTCTTCTGGGTTGTTGCGCTGTGTAGTCGGGTCGATGTTAACCAACGTTTCAGAGGTCATACTGCCTCCATCATCAGGGCGATGAAGATTTCTGTCTTCTGGGTTGTTGCGCTGTGTAGTCGGGTCGATGTTAACCAACGTTTCAGAGGTCATACTGCCTCCGTTATCAGGGCGATGAATACGCCAATTGCAACCAACTAACCAAAAAGCTAACTAAGGGCGGAGTCAAAGCCAATTGAGCGCAAAGGGCTAAGTTTATAGAGACCGGACAGTAAACGGAGTAGCCTAACCCTAATCAAAGGGAACTGGTGTCAAATCAGGCGAGAGGGTGTGAGGGAGATGGAGAAAAAGGTGAGAGAGAGGTCCAAGAACTTTGTAACTTTTTATTTACTAGATGGGGTGTCAAGTATACACACTTTTTACAAACTGAACAAGTTGTAAGTTGGGAGACGCACTTCTGAAGACATTAATAAATATTACAAAGGCTGTGTTCTAAATTAACATTGACAATTTTATATCATGAAAATATTTATTGACTAGATTTATATTTAAAAACTATTCCATTTTACTTCTTACCTGAAGTGTTAAATCAGATTTGGATACCAAACCCAATCAACACAATTACCATTAATGTGTATTCAACATTAACAGCTTCAAATTAAGGTTGCTTCCTTATGCCATTTTATTTCAAGGTTATGAGGTGTATCTAGTGATCTATAGAAGCATCGCTTAGCAAAAATCAAAAATTAAGTAGAAAAAAGAAGAGAAACCTCTAGAAAAAGTGCAAAACATGATGAAATAATTCATTATTAAAAAACACTGAGGAGTTACATTTACTCTATAACAGAAGCTTCCTACATGTAAAAGCATGGCAATTAATGTGATCTCTTAATGCATTTATCATTATTTCATGAACGCTTAGACTTTTCATAAAAAGTAATTGCCCTTGAAATAATCTGATGGAGAGAAATTGTTTTAATTTTCATGCTAAGTACCAATACTCTAATGTACATCAGGTACATATCCACGGTTGGTTATGATCTTCGTAGGTTAAATTTTGTTGTCAGTCTTCTCCCAGGAGTTGAGTACACTGGTGATTGAGTTCTCGGCATGGTTTTTGTTTGAACTGAGGTCACACATCTATTAATCAGGTGGGGCCTGTTGAGAAGGAATTGGCAGTTGCTAGAAAAAAATGTTAATAACGTTCACAGAAAATACACAAAAATTCAGCTATAGACAACCCCCAAAGTAAAGTAAAATGAAAAATAATGACTATTTATCTTCTGATGTTTTAAAGCAATGTATGAATTTTGAATACCGCCTTACATTTTATCACTGAGTCTTTAAAAACATTTGAAAATGGTAGGTTTATTCATTAAATACTTAAAAATTCATATATTAATGTTCTTCCTTCATTGGGTTGAATAAAACAGGATCATTATATCAAGATCTTTAAAATGGAGTGAAAACATTTTATTAACTGTGGCTTTCTGAGTCTTCTCCCAATTTATAAACTGACATATGGGGAATAAAATAAAAAAACCTCGAAAAGCAAAATGATTGACATACAGAGAGAGTACTTGTAATTAACTATTTTGATATAATTTATGAATTTCAAATTTTTTGAAGAGAAAGGTTTACTTAATGATATAACAGACCTGTTTGTTGCTGGAGCAGTTAGAAAACTTGAATGCGGTGGTTCTCTCTGTCGCAGACTAGAATGTTGCCATTGGACATGACAGCGATCCCTTCCAGTCCCTTGAATTCCCCATCCCCTGATCCCCAGCATCCGAACGCCCGAAGAAATGTTCCATCTGGATGGAAGATCTGTATGCGGTTGTTGCCCGAGTCGGCTACGAATATGTAACCTTGGTCGTCCACTGCTACTCCTCTGTGTATTAAAATACATACTTATATTAACTTCTAGCTCCTGTGTGTGATGTTTTCTTACACGTGAGATGTAAATTCCATTTTTTAAAGGTAAGATAAAGTTATATTTGTGAAAATAAAAACTGATCATTGCTAACCTTTCCAGTGAATATTTTTAGACTGTAATCTAAGACTTGTGACAAACTTAAGGGGCACTGGGCTTTGTGTCGAGAAACTTAGAAGTTCAAGTGCAGTATGGAGAAATTATTTTTTTCATTTGTAATTTTCAAAATATTAGAAATATTGTATGTGAATTTCAAGTATGATAAAGATAATTTTTCCATTTGTAAATTTTGGACAACAGTCCTGGTTTAGCGTCACGCTATAGTGAATATTTCCCATAAAACTACATGCATATGGATTTATTTTTGATACACTGAAAACATACAAATCACATAAAATCAGTTCTACAAAATTCATATGGCTTAGGCCCCAGAAACAATGAAGAAGGGTAAAAGATCTGCAAGATACGGCACTTCAAGTAAATAGTGTTTTTTTTAATGTTTGGAGTACAGTTTGAAAGAGGGGCAGGAGAATTCTTTTTCTCTTTACTAAGTGTAAAAACATCTGGCTTTAGAAGTGTCTGTTTTCTTCCGCGTTGTCTGAGAATCTCGTTATAACAATATTGAATTTTTTAATGATGCTGTCAGTAGCTCAGACTACTTAACATAAAATGACGAGATTTTCAATTAATAATTAATTGAAAAGAAAGTGAAAGGAAGTGGTCGTGGCCTAAGTGTAAGTTATTATCACAGCATCTGCCAGGAGGAACTCAGTAAAATCTAAAAAAATCCCACTGTTGTACAGATGGATGTGATTTTATAAATATTTCAGTCTGAATCAGCAGTGTTTAAGAGAAGTGGTACAGAACCCAAGTGGCTGATCCTCTCTTTTACTAACAAAATAAAATTTGTCACATTCTAAAGGTAAAGTATACACACAAACACAAACATACACACACACATATATATATATATATAACTTGGTATTATATTTGATCTGCTATTATTTCTTATTAAAAGACTAAATTATACCTACCTTAGGGATAAAATTTAATTGAACTAAGATATAACACTCGATTGGATCTTGGGAAATGGTTTCTGAGGATGTAAATCAAATTTAAAACTCGTGTTTATGCCTAGTTGTGGGATCTGGTATTAGCATTTAAATTTCAGGGTTCTGTTATTGCAGAGACAAATTCTCATACGTGGCCCATATTTTAAAACTGAATGTGCAGCATCATCCATTACAAATTAATTACTTTAAAAAACAGACAAGTGGATCAACAGACGTGTTAAACGTACCAGGATAATTTGTTTTGACATTCAAACATTTTCTCTTACTGTACAAATTTCATAAACATTTTTTTAATGAAATTGTTTACCTGCAACTGACATTTAATTAATGTATGAATCAGAATATATATATATTTAGTTCAATTAAAGGACCATGGGATGTGTCACTGTGAATTTTTAGTTATTCCCTTTAGGCAGTTAACTTATTTCATTGCAGTTCAGCTTCTATAGAATTTTTCACTTCCTTTCTCCATTATTTTTGCAAGAATTACACCTTTCGTTTATTTACGATTTCATTAGCCCTTAAATATTAGACGTTTAATATAAAGACAAATTGTTTTTGTGACTACTTAAACTTTTCAATTAGCAGACGATGGTGAGCTAGACATCTTATGAGCAAAACATTCAAAAAGTAACCCTTAATAAGCTACTTTTATGTTCCATGTAATGGCGTGTCATTTAACAATTTTCATCATCATTTCGCAAAAAGGGGGTCACAGCAGGAGCGTTAAATGTCGCGGTCCCGGTCGAACCCATGTACTGATGGATCGTGAATCCTGCTAACCACCAATGCACACCATGCTGAATGGTGTGTACTGGACACACCAAAAAAATACTGAGGCTGTAAGTGCACCACTTCAAATTAGGTTGACTGAGAAAATTAATTGTGAAATGAGACATCAATATTTAATTTGCTGAGTTCAGAGAATTTTAATATAATTATTCCATATCTTTATTATCTTGAAGTATTACTTAAATATAGCCATATAATCTTATTGTATATCATATCATTACATGTTTCAAAGTATTTCATATGTGGACATGTGGCAGGTGAATTTAACTGATAGCATTTTAATCTAGTGATACATTTATTACCACCTATTATCAGATGTTCGATCCACTTTCAACTTAATTGCAAATTAATTATTATTGTCTGTTACTATTGTCATGGGCTGGTCACAGTGGCCACGCAGCCTGAGGTGTGGGCCTTGTATGCTTTGACCCTGAGACTGGGTTTGAATCCCACTCAAGGCATGGATGTTTGTTATGCTGTCCTGTGTACAGGTAGGGGCCTTGTGACGGGCTGATCACTCATCCAAGGAGTCCTACGAAAAGTCTAAATAGATCACGTAACCTCCAAAACAGGTGGCCGAGACCCACACTGGGTTGTAGACCCACAGATGATTACTATTTTATTAAGTCAGTGATTAAAAAACATGTGTGTTAAAATATTAAATATTTTTAAATTTTGTTCAACTGACTATTTATAGCATGTAACTACTAATGGATTTTTATTTTAATATGTCCTCTGCCTTGCTTAATTCAGTATGTTATTACTGACTGCTTTTCCATAATCAAGTTATCATTTTCATTTTCTATTTTCATTGTCATAAACAAAAAATTGTTTTAACCAAGGATAAACGATAGGTGGTAATAAACAGAGCATCAAATTGAAAATGTAATTGGTTAAATAGAGCTGTCACCTGGTGATTACATATAAAACACATCAAAACATGTTGAGGAAAATATAAGCTTGGAATAATATTGTATGTTTTTTGCACATAGATATAAAATATTTTGAGAGTAAAAAGGTTTTTTAAAATAATTTTCAGTCCAGTGAAAATTTAACATGTAACAAAACTTGAAGTGAATTGTCATCTGACTGACTGTCAGCCAAACCTTCCATTTGCAGTCTGACAAATTTTAACCACACGCTTGAAAGAGGAAAAGTCATTAACTGCTTTCCTTAATACCTGAGAATTTCACTTCAATACACACAGAGTTATGGATTATACAGCAGGGGGTGATATACACCAGAAAAAGAAAATTACAAGTAAGTAATCGATAGCACAACATGCACATCAAGGAAAATAGGAGGTGTCTGAACTTCGATAATATATCAAAGTTTATAAAAACAGTGGTGGACATAAATTATATTGTTTTAGACAATTAAAGTCCATTCAGTTTATGTGTTTCAGGTTGAATCTGCTACCAGTCTGTTACGATGGAGAGACAAATTCATGTTTTGAACTAAAACCTCACCTCTTACTTGAAATTATTGGAATTCCATTATGAGTGTTTCAGCCTGGTATTTAATTTGTGTGTTTTGGTAACAGTGACCAGTCCAGTGCATTTTTATGAGTATTCTATAAAGTGTAAATCAGCCACTCATTTATTTCTTCACTTGTGTCCTTCTTCTTCTTCATTACGCCGTCTCCTTTATAGGAGGTTGGCGACATATTTTGAACAGGATCTTTCCATCCTTTTCTCGGACTGGGACCTGTTCATATACGTTCTTGGCAGATGATCCAGAAGTGGTTTGCCATTGCCTTCTTCTGTGTGTGAATGGAGTAATTGTTGGGATGCCATGGAGAAACGGGGGGAGCTCCGGAGGAAAACTCTGTGTTGCCTAGACCACGGCCTTGCCCAACTCAAGTTATAAATTCGGGCACCGCCGAGAATCGAATCTGTGACCCCTGGATTACAAGACCAGTGTTCTAACTGCTAGACCACCATGGCGGTTACTTGTGTCCTGCCAATGTCCAATTCAGGAAGTGGTACCCATCAACACACAATATTAAACTTCCTGACTATCTACTGCATTCAATAAAATCACATAGAATGTGCCCTAAAATCAAGTCATACATGTACATAAAACCTGCCGTGAAAAGTAATTAAAGTAAATTCCATTAGAACCTGAGAGTAATGTCCAACCAACACTAAAGAGGGCACTGAGATTTCAAGAGCTGAAGCAAGCAACAGACATTTCGAAGTAGGCCTCCAATGACTGATAACACAAAAAGGGTCCCTTAAATGGATACATACATGAAAACCACGCACATTTAATTTGAGCATGGACTACAAATAAGTTAGAAGGATCTCCATGCATTTTTTTGTGTCAGTATTGCTTCATACATAAAATTATTAAGAGTCTGTACCCCGTTGTCCATCGTAATTGTTGGTAGCCATGAATAAACATTTTACTTCATACCCACCAACAAACCAACCAACCAGAAAGCATGATCGATTGATTTATCCACCTTAACATTTCTATAGGAAAATGGTGATTGTGGGTTATCAGGACACATTGCTTTAAAAATAGGTTAGGTTAGGTTGGATTGGGTTAGGTTATGTTATGTTAGGTTAGGTTAATGTGTGTGGATAAATGACATAAGTTACAGTTGTGAACAAATGGTCACGTAGTTCTACAATGAAACATTCGTTTGTCTCCCCCGTTTTGTGTCCTGATAACCCACAAGTACCAGGAAAATATTTGTGATGAATATTACATCATATGAACTTCTCTCTGTTTTGTTACGAAAGTGCTTTTACAATTAACCAGCCAGCAGCAACACACACACAAATGAACAATAAATTTAATAATATTTCTGAAATGAGGTGTGTGGGACATGTTAAGGAAGAGATTATTGGATAGGCAAGAAAACTGGTGTAAGAAGTTACACATGAAAATGATGAAGTAAGGTGTAACTGAATTCATGATGTTCAGATAAATTAAGATAAAATGTATGTAAACAAAGTATTGAAGATAAAAATTAGAATTAATAACACCTTTGGAAGATGCAGTGACTTCATCCCTCCTGTAAACATTTTCCACTGAACAAGGAGAAACAGATTTACTTACCTGGGGAATTTGAACTGCCCCTCTTCAGAGCCCTCATTGCCAAAGGTGGTGAGTACTCGACCGTTGACATCAAAAATTTGAATTCGATGATTGTTGGAATCTGACACGATGACCCGGTTAGTGCTCGATACAGCAATGTAATGTGGGTGCTCTAATTGGCCAGGCTTACTTCCACACGATCCAAATTTACCGACAAATGTTCCATCCGACTGGAAAACCTGTGCCAGGGAAAACATTATAGTGCAGCAACACATTATTCCATTTCAGATAGACCCTTTTGCATCGTCCATGTGCTTCAGATGGTGGGAAAATGTGGGTGGCACTTTAAAAGTCTGAACCATTCCTAAAGCAACAATTTGTTGTGGATCAATTGCAGTATGCGCATGTGTTAACTCCATACCGATTAGAGTTCTTGGTGTAGTTCAGGCTAATATAATATTTATACCAACTAGGTAGAAGCCAGGGAAAGGACAAGTTTTAAAGAATAACCAATTACAATACCAAAAGTCTGGAGATCTGGCTGACGCAATAAAGTGGCCCTCCAAAAGGAATTTAGAACAGATAAGCAAAATAAATATATATGATTCATCACCCACCATCTGAGGATTCACTTATTTTCCAGCCAGGTCCTGCTTGCTGGCCTAATATAATTGCTGTGCAATCAATTCAGAATGACGAGTTGAACGATGATGTCTAACCTGTAACACCTCCAACAACGGCTTGTTCGTTGAACCGGGAAGCAGCCCACGTAACCTAATCTGGGATATGACCGAAACATAAGTCTAAACACCACGTTGCTAGTTAGCCAAACAGCCTCCTTGCACTGATCGGGTACGTTCGATTCGGGCTAGTCTCTTTGCGTCTCAAACATGACAGAACCAAATTTACCTGCCAAGTTATACATCTCGTTTTGTGAACTATGCTTCGCATAAAAATCGAAAGGAAATAAAGAAACAACAGACAAATATTTTAGGCAGAGATATCTACAAGAGAGGATTTTGCTCAACATCTCGTCTCACTGATGAAGAAATAAACAGTGTGATCACTTGACTGCATGAGGCCAAGATAGTGCTGATGATAACTTTCCAAGTAGACCTAAGTAACCGGAAGTTTTTGCTGATGAACACAAAATGAAATGGTGGCGCTTAACAATTTCAAATTCAGAGTTTACCAGCCAGAAACCCGTCATGACACTGTACACATCTGGCTTTGGACCAACAGTGCGGTATTGGTAATTTTACAGGGGTCGACAATATGCAACGTAGTTGGATTCAGTACCATGACAACCATGAATGCCTAGGCATGAAAGTGTCGCTTACATCGTCCGACTTTTGTGCCCGTGGTTTCGTCTGTGAAGACTGATCTCGGCAAAACGAACGCAGCCGATCTACCATGCCCGCAATGCGAGCAGGACACACCGAGATTCCAGAACGCAAAGTTAATTACCGAAACGAGGTAGGGGACAAAGCATGAATGAAAGATGCAAACCAAATTGCTCAAGTTTAATTTAAATTAATGAAAATGAAGACAGGAACGACACTATGTTTGTTTAGAAAACCACGCTCTGCTGCCATTTGTTTGCGGTGTTCTTACCCTCTCCTTCGTCATTGCTTTCAAGGCCACCAGAACATCACACCCCAGCCAAGTTTGTCCCTTCTCATTTCAGGTTTGATGAAGGGGACTGGAGATACAAAGCGTCAGCCAGTGTTAAGGTTAAGAATGTGTGTAGCTACCCCATTCGTGATGAAGCACAGAAGACAACTTTATATTCGTGTTGAACTTCAATGAAAATTCTAACAAAACCCACACAGAACATCACTATGCATGTGGCGGGCATACGAGATGATTCTTCGGACATTATTTACTTTCAAGTATCTGGTGGTTCGTAACGTGGCTTAGACTTTTTAATCGTGGGGGTTGCAGGACGGAACGACCAATATTTCCGCGTCTGTTTCTTCATCCCTCGGTCGGTCGCCATCTTGAAACCCCATAAAAAAGGAGTGTGATAAAAGTAGCTACATATAAACTGTAAGCTTTTCAGCTGCTTATGTGAGATAGGGATTCTTTGTCGGAAGACTCCAAACGCTGGACATTCCTCGGGATAGGCAGGTGGATATGGACAAATAATGTAAAGTAGAATGAAAATAAATAGAATGTGAGGTTTCGGGTTGGATTAAATTGGCTCGGAAGAGGTTAAATTGTTCAGTTCTTGCGCACGTATGGCGATGAACATTCGGGTTCTATGAAAGGTGGACAATTCCTTGACCAGGCGAGAGACTTTGAAACGCGAAGCTCATCTGAACAATATTTAAATATTCAGCTCTAACCTCACAGAAAATATACCGCGTCTCCATTACAAAGACCAGTAGGTTTATGCTGTTTACGGGAAAATCGTTGTTTATTTTCAAAATCACACGGAACACACAAATACACTCTGTGGGCAAAATGCAGAGTTACTGAATGTTAAAGGAGGCGGAGAATGTTTTTACTAATGGGCTTTAAAGAGTTAACTATAATTTCCGGACAGGCAGAACGGTTAAGTCGTTACTTTTACATTCCTTAGGTCCTGAAGAAGGAAGAAGTAAGTTCATTTGAAACGTCGGAAATATTTATCATTCCAACACGCCTCAAGCTTTACACTGCCCTGGACGCAGTATCTGGTCCTGCCTTCCAGTACGTTTTTTTACCTGCACACGGTGGTTCTCCTTGTCGCAAACGTAGATGAAACCGAGGGCGTCTGTCGTTATGCCCCACGGATAGTTGAAGCGGCCGTCAGCGGTGCCCTGGCTCCCGAAGGCTCGGAGGAACCGACCAGAAGGGTCCAGCACCTGTAATGCAGCGGAAACAGAATTGGTTGAACTGTTGTTTTGGCTTCCTTAAAATCAGGAAATCGCTTGGCCGAGCGTCTATTAACCTTTCAAGGACGACCCTGCGTCTTGAAGTTACGAGGCGCGTCCACAAAGTAAGTTTCCCACTCGTCCCACAGCTAGCAAACCTTATATTGCGCGAAGCGACTGTGCGTACGTGATAGAGCAATGACGTAGCATGGCACATGCACTAACGGCACTTCCCGCGTTCTCACAGTAGCATCGTTGCAGCTGTTGAAGATGGAGGTTCTTATTCCAGCCCCCGCCGACTGTGAAGTGCGGTCAGTGATAACGCTAGGCCGCACACGGCTCGACGGACAGCAAGTCTCCTGCAGAAGTTCAGCTGGGAGGTGTTTAATCATTCACCCTACAGCCCGGACCTCGCTCCCAGTGATTTCCATCTTTTCCTACACCTCAAGAAATTCCTGTCCGGTCAGCGTCAGCGTCAGCGTTTTGAGAATGAAAGAGAGGCGGAGATGGTTGTCACACAGTGGTTCCAATCCCAGGCGGCAGACTTCTACGACACAGGTATTCAAAAGTTGGTCCCACGGTATGACAAATGTCTCAATTCCGGTGGCGAATATGTTGAAAAATAGCTGGACACTTGCTGTATCTGTTGCAATAAATATTTCCATGAAATTGTGTTTTGTTTCTGTAAACGGCCCCAGGGAAACTTACTTTGTGGACGAGCCTCGTACTTCGTTTGTTAGTCAGCTATTATTTCGTTCTTATGGCGATGTTCCTTCTGGAGGTGACACAAGAAGACAGCAATTTCATTTATTATATTTCTTTTCATTCATTTATTCTCTCCTAGGACTCAATTCCCTCCTTTTCATCCACTGTTTCTTCATCTTCCTCCGCCTAAATCCTTCATTCTCACTCTATTCCTTTTCAATATCGTGACCCACATTACTATGCTCTCAAGGTCTAAAGCCCTTCGTGACGGCAGCCATTAAAATGGTCTCCTACCCCTTGGATGAAGAGGATTTATGTCTCACAAACGTACAGAGATCTACTATCACATTGAGACAAAGGCTCGTATCATGTGAACCAAAACTGAGATCTATAGCAGTAACTGACGACCTCCATTGAAGGGTTTCCGTGACATTTAACCTTTTCATCATTTCGAACGTTTCAAGACCAAATTGTCTAGGGACTGGCATTGCTACGTTCTCTCGCCAAACGGGGCACGTTTCAACTACTGTACAGTGTGTTTGAAGTGGATTGTAGTCACTTTGTACGCCGATCCGGTAAGACCGTGAGGTCTTCGGCTGCTTCTGCGCTAGGACGAAGATTTCTCATGACCGACCTGCGTACTTTAAAGCTTGAAATAATGATATTATTATGTATAAAATAACCAACCAACTAAGCAGTGCCACTCTTTAGAAGAGGATAGTCTAGCGGTTAGAACGCTGGCCTTGTAATCCTGGGGTCTCGGGTTCGATTCCCGGCGGTGTCCGAATTTATAACTTGTGTTGGACAAGGCCGTGGTCTAGGCAACACGGAGTTTTCCTCCGGGGGCTTCCCCGGTTTCTCCGTGGCATCCCAACAATTACTCCATTCACACACAGAAGAAGGCAATGGCAAACCACTTCTGGATCATCCGCCAAGAACGTATATGAACAGGTCCCAGTCCGAGAAAAGGAGGGAAGGATCCTGTTCATATGGACCTGTCGTCAGACAGAACACTAAAAATAGTCTTCCTATCACACGTTTTATGGAAGCCACGTGTTTACAAGAGTTCGACATCGAATCCCACATTATTTCCAGCTGAATACAATCAATAAATTCACACCTTATATTTTTGACATCCATTTTAAAATTATCCTTACATCTGCTACTAGATCTATCAAGTGGTTTCTTCTTTTCGGGTTTTCCAATTAAATCGTTGAATAAATTTCTAATCGTTCCCATGCGTCCTACCCATATCGCTCTCCCCGATTCGATCTTCTGAAAATAACAAAAGTAAGAAACCACAAAATACACAGTTTCCTCCATCTTCCTACTTCTTCTACCATGTTTGATACAAATATTCTCTTCAGCACTCTGGTCTCAAGAAATCTCGATCTACATGCAAATTCTTCCCTGAAGGCGAGAGAAAAACTCTCAGGTCCATGCGAGATAACATACAGAATTATCGTTTTCATATTATAATCACGTAAAAGTTATGAGTTGTAGAATATTTATTTGGAAAGGAGTTGGCGGTTCAACTTAAATTTATTGCATATAAAAAAAGTAACAGTTATAAGCATTGAATTTAGCTGCCTTCTGGGTTGTTACGCCGTGTAGTCTGGTAGAAGTTTACCAACGTATCAGAGGTCTTTTTCTGTCTCCATCATCAGGGCGGTCACCCTGATGATAGAGACGTAACGACCCAGAAGGCAGCCATCTTGAGACTTGCAGCCGCGAGAATGTCAAATCCTACTTAATTCTTAATAAATTGCAGCTGTAGGTTTTCCCCGACTAACGAGCCCAGGGCAAAACCTTGATGTAGGTATTGCAGGAGCTTGCATTACCTGTATGCGGTGATTGTATCGGTCAGCGATGATGAACTGGCCGATCCTGTTCACTGCCACGCCGGCTAGACAATCGAACTCGCCCTCTGAATTGCCGTAACTGCCAAATTCTTTGGCGAAGATTCCGTTAGCGTCGAAGACTTGAACGCGGTGGTTGGACGAATCTGCGACCACTATAGAGTTGTCGGGACCCACGGCGATGCCGCGGGGCCACGTGAAGCATCCAGGCTCGCTCCCCCGACTCCCAATCTTGAACTGCTGGCGACGTTTCTGCAGGTACTGGCTTCTAGGGCAGGAACCTGCCGCTGCCGCGAAACCTGAGGGACCAAGACGCAACTTTGGGACCACCAGTGAAGTACGTACTTCAGTTTATACCAGGGCGTCTGTCGTAGACTTAGGTTCTTACGTAATCGGAAGACATCTTGGTATGAACAGTGTGTCACTAGAGGTTACCTAGACCATTGGTATTCAACCTGGGGTACGCGTACCCCCGGGGGTATGCGAAGACATCTTAGGGGGTACGTGAATTTTTTTTTAAAAATATATATTTTATGATAAACACTGAATAATCAGTAATGTAATTTGTTTAATTTATTTTAGATGTAGATTATATACTATGTATAACTTTAATTATACACCAACAATTTGGGGGGGTACAAAGTTGAAGAGAAATTATATCTGGGGGTACGAGAACAAAAAAGGTTGAATACCACTGACCTAGACTTTGTACTCTGTAATTTCATACGGCAAGTGATACCAGAATGGCGATCTTGAGGTGGGAATGACACTAGCGACACTTAATGCAGGGTCCTGACATTTTGTTGATATTAAAAAACATGCAACTTTTGTTGCAGTAATTTGTTTTACAGAATGTAAAGTACAACACGCCGTTATCGATTTCTGGGATATATCGATTGGGTCCATAAAGATGATGTTCTGGCAGGTATAAACTCAAGTTATCACAAGGGTGTGGTCCGATTGGATGTCTAGAGAAAACTGTTAGAAAAGATGTGATGGGCTATATAAATGGAGGTATTGGATCCTGATGATGGTAACAAGAAACTTCTTGCAAGGTACTGGGCAACGCTGATCTACACTCCAATATGGAGTACACCATTTCAGAATAATTCATTGCGATCTGCCATCATTCTTAATTGGTTTTGATATTCAGTCTGTATAAATAAAAAATGTTTACGAAAGAGGTAGAGATAATACATCAAATAGATTATATTATTGACAAAGATTCTAAAGAAACTCAGTAATATTACATCGTGTACAGACTCTGCTCTTCTAGATTGTATGTCGTTTTATCTTTTAGGTATTTACCGACGTTTCGGACGAAACAATAATCGCCATTTTCAAACCGTGAATACACGGTATTACAACCGAGAAGACAACAAGTAACATTCTCATCGCCTTGAGTACCCCAAGCCTCAGAGATATTACCTTACACAATACTTCATTAAACATGTAAGAACTCGACAAGGTTCACAAATTTAAGTTAGCATTTCATTTAGACCTGAACTTTTATTTGGTGAACTTTCTAGAGGCCGTTGTTTAAGTAAAAGTTTAAGGTGCCCCATACGGTTTATTACGCGTTGCTCATCAGCTCATAGCCACGCGACGCCAATTACGTTTACATGTGACAGTCCACCAGACCCATTTTATTTCGTCTGAATTACAGATAATTTGTTCTTTCAAGCGCCTGACTGGAACCCTACTTCCGGTGAAAGCTTCGAAACATAACAAGACATTAGGAACGAAATAATTGAATAGTATATATTTTTTTATTTCCTTCATCCTTTGTTTCATTCGTTTTTAATTAATCTTTGTGTCCCTCCCTTCTTTAGATTACTCTTTCTCTATCTCCCCCTATTCGCCCCCACCCTTATTTAGGATATTTATCATCCCTTTCCTAACATCTCCCTCCTTATATTCTCGCTTTCTTTCTTTCCTTAATTTATTTCTTGTGTTTCATCAATTCTTTCTTATTTCTTCCGACAGCAGGGCCTGACCGCCATCAAATCCTAGTCCTGTCATGCTGAAACATATCAAGTTGTTGTGCTCCTGTAGCTACTGTCTTTCCGGGGGACAGCCTTCGTCTTTTCGCATGCCTGGTCTGTGATAGATGACCTCCTTAATTTGGGGACCTTGCAGAGTGTGAGACGCCAAAACATAATTACTTCGTGTTCTGATGTCGCCTTACTTGAAAGCCTTCGCATTCTTGGGCGAAACTACAGAACACCGCTTGTTCAACACGAAATTAAGTGATTAATTTATTATCGTGTTAAAATTAGCACACGGTTTCAAAGAGCACTTAACGTTCATCCTCGCATGAGAAATAGCTGCTTAAAATATGAGAACTGTCTACTCAGTTTGGTGCTAGGATCTACAACCCAACCTGTAACCATTATCGGGCAGGTTATCACGACGGTACAACTGAATACCGGCTAGCAACTGGTTGCCTCAACAGGGGTTATTAATAGCTCTTCGTTTATTCAACGAATTCTTCTCAACTGCTTATATTATAGGCCTGTATTATCGAAAGAAATATTTAAACCCTCTAAGCACGGAGTTCATTTAAATTATCAGATTCGACCTCGTGGTAAAACGCAAAATGACTCTAGAACTGAGATAAATTGATTGATGCTGTGTAGCGAAGTTATCGTTCCTTATATACGATTTATAAACACGAACTCTGGCTAAAAATGCAGGTACTAAACATTAAAGTGGTGATAGACGTAAGTTGTTACTGTTTTTTAGATAGTTAAGGCCCTAACTCAGAATTACGACAATCGGCCCCAGGAGGCTATTCTAGATTTCTTCCACTCTGAATCTCTTGAAACGTATTTCGGAACAGTACCCAAGTACAGGCCACGGCCATTTCCTGATATCTCTTATTCATAATTTACAACCATTTTGCATCTCTCAAGTTACTATAAATATCATCGGCAGTTGATACAGCGTCCTAGCACTTCATCTGCTTTATTCGGAGGTCGCAAATCTTCGATTTAGCCTTGGAGACCGGCTGTAATGTTTAACATTCGCCCATGAGAAGTTATATCATATGTATTTATCGCGTTGACAGTAATTTTGTCATAGAAAATATTCGTATAAACCTAGTAAATTATTTCAGAAGGAAACGCAATAGATTTAGTTTAAGTTAGGTTAGGTTAGGTTAGGTTAGGTTAACTTAGGTTAGTTTGGTTAGGTTAGGTTAGTTTAGGATAGTTTGGTTAGGTTAGGTTGGGTTAGGTTAGGTTAGGTTACCTGTTGCCGCCACCGTAGCTGCTGTAGGGGAAGTGGGGGAGCCTCCCGGGTTTTTTTGGTCGTCATCTGAACTGTCGACACTTGCTGAGTTGTGACGTAGCGGGAGACCCAATGAGAGGCGTCTGGCAGCTGTTGCAGACGCCGAAGGAGATGAGGAGGCGCCGCTACCCGAGCCTCCGCCGTCCCTGTTGCTGGCCTTGTTGCCGTACTTGTTCTTAAGGTACCTGGCCCACGAGCTGAGCGCCGCGCCGTCCTTCTCGGTTCCCGCCGCAGATCTGTCAGGCGAGTTGTCCCTCGATTTGAGCGCGTGAGTCGATCTACTTCTTGCGAGGTCGTTGCTGCTCTGGGACCCCGGACCGTACCGGGATGCCAGGTATGTCGCAGGCATTGACGAAGTCGGAGACGAAGGACTGTCTTCAGGCTCTTCGTCATCAGGTCCGCCGAAGTTGTGGGAACTCCTGCTCCTCGCCAGACGGGCACGCCTATCCTTAAGAGCGGCGTACCTTGACCTACCACTGGGGTACTTGCTGGCGTCGTCTCCGGTGGAGTATTTTTTGCCTCCGGAGTCCGCCTCCTCGTCTGGAGACATCACAGCAGAGCTCTTCGACTTGTTCAGGAACCTGCTCGTGTATCCACTCCCTGACCCGTACCGCGACGGCGGGGAGCTGTCCTCGTCCACCGATCCGCGGCTCCGGCTAAGGTACTTGCTTCCTGTAGGGGCGGCAGGAGGATCGTCCTTCGGGACGTATGGTTGTCGGTAACTACTGGGGGTCGTTTCTGCCCCGCTGCCGTAGCGTGACTTGCCGTAGCTAGTCGTGCTGGTTTCATCTTTGCTGTTTTTCCTTGCGGCTTCAGACGTGTCCCTCGCCTGGGCACTTCGGGCGAGCAGAGGTCCAATATCAGACCTTTCCATCGCAGATTTATTCACGACGGGTGGTTCAGGCTTCTTTTTACCAGCTTCATCGGCGGACTCATCTTCAGAATCCGTTTCCTCAGACTCCGAGGAGCTTTCAGATTCCTCTTCTTCATCTTCCTCCTCTTCCTTAGTCGGCGTCTCCACAGCCGGTGGGGGGGTTGTGGTGGGTGTTTGTCTGTTGGGTAAAAACCGACTCTGGAACGGTTTCTTGGGAGTATCGGAACCGGTGGAGGACAAGCGGTTTCTCGGTGTGGATGCACCGGAACCAGCCGGACTCTCTGCCGGAGAAACTTTCACCTTCTGTCTCGGCTCCTCAGGTGTGAACGTTGTCGTCGTGGCCTTGACTGCTGAGGTAGACGCGGCGGAAGACTCAGACGACGTGCTGGAGTCAGAACTGGCGGAGCGCGTGGCTTTTTTGTGGGGCGCCACGTCGGAAGAACCGGAAGATCGCCTGGACACATTACCGGAACCGGTTTTTCCGGGTGTCTTGCGTTGCGTTTGTTGAAGTGAACTCACTGACGAGCCGTCATCGGACTCGGCGTCGCTGGACGCCACCTACGGATCAGGAAATTAATTGATAGGCCACGTGCTGTGCAAACAAAAAAATAGTCTTTTTAGAGAGTAAGGTATTTTTTGGACTGAAAATTCCTATAAAATAGGGCTTCATTGATTTCAAAACAGAACAAATGTTCTAAAATTATTACAATTTTCCGTGTAATTACAGTACACACATTATACAGCAGGAAAGCATTTATACGTTCATTCGATGATGATTTATACCCATAAAAGTCTCCGATGTCACGGACGGGCGTCTCAGAGAAGTCAAAGTATTTCATTGGCCCAATCATAAGACTGATTATCTTGATTATCACTGAACCACGCAACTGCTCCTAATATAGCAGCCAATGACTTAACACTTGTCTGGACGCGGGCGCTGTTAGAGCGATGCGGAAACAATTGAAATTACGTTCTGACAGTTTCGACTCTGGTACCAAGAAATACAAACGAGGCTATGGCAGCGTCTATGCCAGGGTTGGGCACAGTCTACAGACAGTCGGTCACTTTTGGCAGGCTTTAGTCACTGTGAGGAAGCTTCCACATTTAATTTACTGAAGACGTTTTATAAATGTTGTACTTTCAATGCGATTTAAAAAAGATAATGTTGCAATAAATTACATTAAAAGTTCGTTCTCGTCTCTTGTCTAATAATAGCATAGCAACGTACTACACTACTCAAAGACCGTGACATTTGTTGACTGCATCTCTGAAATGTTTTAGCAAGAAGCTAAACAGCTCAACACGCATTTCTTCCTGTTTCCAAGGCACAAACCATAAAATACATCCTTGTCTCTAAATTTCTTCAATGCAGTTGAAGCAACTACACGGAAAACACTGAATTAAGATAAATAATTCCTCGATCATGTTGGTGTAGTGATTATAACTTCTGAGTTGCATTCCGCTGGTCACCGATTCCAGTTTTACCCTGACACCGCGTAAGGTGATTCAGGTCTTTTGTGGTTTTTCTCAGTCACGTGAATGACGAGAAAGGGGTATAAACAGAGGACAGAAGCCTCAAAGCAGATCTTCCTAACCTGTCTCTGGGTGTCGTAGATCAATCAGAGAGTAAATAAAATTATTTCTTCCTGATTATAACGGTAAAGAAGTTAGGTTAGGTTTCTTATTTTGCCTAAAACTCTGGAAAGGCTGCTTCGTGCTTCAAATTATATTCTTTATATGCCATGCAGATGTCAGCTGTTGCAGTGCAGTAGAGTCTCCTGACCCTTCGTAGAATAAAAAGACGAAAGCTTTGCCTGCTATAAGAAAGTATTTGTTGTGTTGAATAAGTGAAATTCGATTCTAGTAAATGTCTGTGATAATAAAAATATTTTGCATCAGATAAGAATTCAAATAAGATAGAAAAATGCATGATTTCAGCACAATGGTACAGCCGGTCTGTTTTAATCTGTACACACTTTAGCTCTTAACTATCTTGCTCCGTTCAACAGAGCGTTTCTTGAGAAGACTTTGGCACTCTCAGATAGCCACGAAATTCCCCGTCTTTTATTCAACTCAAAGGTTCATTACCGAATTCACAACAGCCAGCCATTGGCCCCCTATCCTGAGCCACACTCACAAAGACCCATTTAATAATTCTCATCCCATGCCTTCCAAGTGGTCAATTCTCTTCAGAATTTTAAATTAAAAATTTGTATCAGATTCTCAGCTTCACCCATGTGCCCCAAATTCCCCGCTTAACACACTCTTCTTGGTTTAATAACATTATTCTTTCAGGAACAAAGTTTCTGCTAAACAGCCTGTTTTAAATACCCCCAGTCTGTTCTCCCTTACGGTTAGAGACCAAGTTCCAAACACATATAAAACAACAGGTAAAAATTATAGTTTTTATAAATTTACCTTTACGCTCAGACGTTCAGACAGAAGATTCTGACCAACATGATACCAAGTATACGCAGAATTTAATTTAAAAAATTAAATGAAAGCTATCAAAATATTTGTTTCAAAATTATCACAAATTTGCTCCCGCAGATCAGGGGTTCTCACATATTTATCATTTCCTCTCGATTCACTTACTGCCGGAACAATTTATTAAAACGTCATACATGTACTAAAATTCTAGTTATCACTATCGTTAACAAGTTAACATATTAGCCTATTAATTAATAATCGTATTTAACAAATACATCGACGGGTTATATTATTTAACAAATCCGCATGAAATTGAACACATAACTTATGATACAAACATACTTTTATCTTACAGCCGGATGAAATACTATAAAAAATTACGCGGACCGCTGGTTGAGAGACCGTGGTGTTAGTAGAACTGTGTCTATTAATAAGAAACTTTATATTTGTTTAAATCTTATCAGTCTAATCACAATAAAATTACTATTAAATATTAAAATATTACTATAATTAACATTTAAATATTTAAAATATATTAAATGATATTCTCTATCGAAATGTTCGATTTACATTAGAATATAACTTTTTACACGACATGTTTCAGTTCTAAATGAACCATCTTCAGGTGTATAAAATTATTATATAAACCTAAATATAATTTCTTAAATGCAACTTTTAGTCAGATGTTTATCAGATTTTCAAATGAAGTTTTCTTCCAGATTTTATTGTATTTTTAATATCGTATTCGAAGTTGTTCTGAATGTACGTCGTGCTTAACATGATTTTGTGTGGGTGAACGTTTTGTTGTTGTTTTGTATTATCCTCTAAAGTAAATAATATAAAGACTAAATGAATATTAATAAAATTAGAAATAAAAAATAAAATAATATATTGATAAATTTAATTTGAAACATACCAGATATATCATTTAATATATTTTAAATATTTAAATGTTAATTATAGTAATATTTTAATATTTAATAGGAATTTTATTGTGATTAGACTGATAAGATTTAAACAAATATATATTTATCACAATATGACGCAACTTTATCATCTAATAAGAAACTTGTTTGGACTTACATCCATTGTCACGTAAAAACTGTCAATCATCCAAAAAATCTTACGTCCGATAGCTGTCAAAGAAAATAAGTGGGTTCAGGGAACAATTTAAAGGCGATAGGTAGACGATCTTTTTAAACACTGATTCGTTAGAGAACAAGGTACATTGTCTACAGATTCAGGCCGGAGAAATGTCTGAAGAACTCTGTGAAATGTGTTCTTGTATTGGCTGAACACATCCAGATCTGGATAGAAATTAACCAGGTCACGTGTAAAACTATAGACAGCTCCATATTTTCGTACCAATATTTCGATGGAATTACCAGTAACTGGCTTGCTCTGGTCCTCTTGAGTAATTCACCTGCTGTGAAGTAAAAAATTACAAAAAAAAAAACTAAAATTCAAGATGGCGGGCACAAGTCCCGACAAAAAGTTTCATTCGAAGTTCCCTCTCAAAGGTACGAAAGTTTTAAAATGTTCTATCGCGAGTCTTAATTTTCTCAGGTCAAAGATTTCCAGTCGCAGACTTTTAAATATAAAATTGTGACGTTCTTCTCATATTAGACTATTTGCACGACAGAATGCATTTTTTTTATGAGGTCTTCTCGCGTGTCCAAGATAAGATTTTCACCATTTACATTTAATATAATCTGATGCAAAACATTATTTTGATTAAACACATAAAAGTACATGTTATTTGTAATAAATTTCGTAGGCCTATAAAGAATATAACATTTTTATTTGTCTTCTATTATTGTTAATAGATTTCATACATATATTGTGTTCCATGTGTGAGTTATAGAGCTCTAAACATCAAAACTACTGTGTGGTTTGCATTCTCTTAGTTATGTAGTGTTAATGTATAAATAATTTCACAAGAACTTAGCAAATATTGACAGAAGACCACGTCGAGAGGGCTACGTGCCATCGTATGGAAGGGCTTTAGACAGGTGTCAAGTATTCTCCGTAGACTGGAAACAGAACGTCACAGAAGCTGTAATAGTCTCAATATATTCATGGAAAATCATAGAGCAAGGTTTCTCAAAGCCTTCTAGATCGTGACTTTATCCGGACTCTGCAGTGATCGATCAACAGTCAGCCACCAAAATCTTCGATCGTTGGAGGTCGTTGGCCTATAGAAATTCATTTTCTCTGCTATTAAAGTCGAATATAAAACAATTTAAAAGATCTGAGAATACAAGCTTCAACTCTGGTACAAAACTTCACATATGCTATTTAGATTTTTTAATCGGTGACTTTTCACAGAAATAAACGTTAACTAACGCCATCTCAGTCAACAAAAGTCCCTAAATCGTATGTCAAAGTACGTCGAATAGTTAATAAGAGTAGAATGCTGTTCTTAAATTTGTAGTACGCGGGGTTTATTCTGAGGACATGAAGAATCTTGCTAATTTACTTTACAATTAGTGCGCGTGTGTTATGAGCAGATACGACACTAAATATACCACATATAGGCTACTGCATTGTCATAATTTCTGTTGCTGAAAATTGTTATAGACAGTAGCGATGTTATATTGTACGGGAATACGATATAAATTTTTTCTGATTACTTTAACGAAATATAACGAAAAAATGCAAACAATTCACGAAAGAATATACATAATCGAACCCCTGATAATCCGGGAAAATGTAATAAATACCTAACCTTATTCATAGACATACACTACTTGAATTCTTAAACATTTGCTAATTACAGAAGTGATGTTATATAAAATTTAATACAGTATACCATCTATTTATTTTAAAAAACGAAAGCAATACGTTCCATTCTCGTAAACGTAAGGTTTTAGCAAATAATTTATTTATGTTAATACATTAAATAGTATGTCATTATTGTATTTATTTTTGAACGGTCAAAACTTTTAAAACTGATTTTCTAAATTAATTTTTGATTTTAGTTTAGATCAGAAAGACCCCGGTTCATCCGCCCCCCCCCCGGATAATTTAGAGTCTAATGTAGTTTATAACTTTGTCCAGTGTAATATTTCTACCGCTGATAAAACTTTCCAGAAATTTAAATAATGACTATGCAGTATATTTGCGGTTTCTGTATCTGTTCAGAAGAGAATGCAAGAAATCCGACATAAAGTAACAACAGATTTCATGTCCACGAATGTCAGACATCATAGTGTCCCTTGTCAACACAGCAGATTGTGTCCTCAGGTTACTTATTAATTTTAGAGATGTCTTCTGGATTATTTCATCTTGTAGTCTGGTAGAAGTTTATCGACGTTTCAGAGGTCCATGTTGCGTCCATCATCGGCCTGATGATGGAGGCAATAAGGACCTCTGAAACATTGGTAAATTTCTACCAGACAACAAGGCGCAACAACGCAGAAGACAGCCATCTTCAGGCTCACCGCCGTGAAAATATAAAATCCTACTTATTAATTCTATTTGGGATAAAGAAGGTGATACAACTGATCTTGTTTCTTCGAGAAATATCACTGTTATCAAATACATAAACATTTTACCCGACATTCTTCTGTAAAAGTTAACTCTGTTACTGTGGATTTCGACGTAATCAATCAACTGCTGACCAATCTGCATTAGCAAGACACTGGAGAAAGAATTGGAGTACAATGGAGCAGAACGGCAGATATTTAAAGACTTCACGCATCTTATATATTTCGTCTGATATTCTAATAACTTTCTTACGCACTTGTTTTTCAGTTTCAGATATAAATGAGTGAACACTACGTATTTAATAATATCTGTTCATATTACACTCCACTCGCCAATATATTAACTGCTTCAATTCGTGTATTTCAGTGACAATGTCGAGATCTTATTCCTTGAGAAACCCTACTCTAAATGAGTAAGAACATGCTAATTCACACGTAATAAACACATTACTTGCAGGGCATGCACTAATTAGTATTTTATTAAACTTCTTTTCAAGTTTCATTAATGCGTTGTATTTAAGCGCACAGCCATAAGATTTACTTGGATCGTGGAGGTAAAAGCTCCACATATTCTGGATCTCGTAGCGATATACGAGGTGCGATCGGAAAGTTTCAAGACTGTGTCAATAGAGGGCGAACCGGATGTAGTACGAGCGTCTGCCTTTAGGGGGTGCGGCCTACATTCATAGTGAATCAGTGTGCCAGCCGGTATCATCGAATTAACATTTGTTTCTTAGTTACGGGCGTTTTGGTAGTGCATTACACCGACCCTCCTGCGATTTCGGAATGGCGTGTGCATCAAATTTTGCCAAAGACTCGCCAAAACGGCTACGGAAACCTATGAAATGCTAAAGCAAGCATTTGGGGAGTCCGCAAACTTTTGTGTGGCATTCACGTTTTAAAAATGACCGAACCTCTGTCGATGATG